AAAAAAAAAAAAAAATATATATATATATGATGAGACAAAGTTGTAGTTAAGAACCTTGGTTTTGGAGTAGGATACAGCCAGGTAAAAGCTAGCTGTCCCAAGCACTGCTAGCTGCAGGACCATTAGTAATTACACCCCTCCACTCTCAACCTGAGTTTCCTGTAAAAACCAATCAGGACAACACACATCAGAGTGGATGCAGCAGTTAAATCACATAAGGACAACTGATGAATAAAATGCCTACTATATAGCAGACCCCTTAAGACAAACCCCTAAAGTATAGCTATTATTTCTCAATATCTTCAAAGTTCAGATAGTTAAATAATTTGCCCATGAAAAGGAAGCCTACACTTACTGAATGTCAGGTATGGTACATTTTCTTACTTATTTAATAACCATAAATCACCCCTACCTTATGGTAGGCATCATCCTGATTTTAAAGATGATTAAGACCGAGACTGAGGTTCAACTCCAAGTAATTTGTCCAGATCAGAGGTTTTAAGAACCAGATTTGGAATTAAACTCAGGGTCCTTACCCTTTTTATTGTCCCATTCGTATTTTCTCAAGAATCTTTACAGGTCTTATTCATAATTAGAACCAAATACACGTTCCCCCACCCACCCCCAAGCAGTTCTGGGAATCAAACCCAGTGGCCCTCTACATCCCAATCCCTTCTTAGCTCCTGTTTTGAGGCAGGGTCTCACTAAGTTGCCCAAGCAGGACCCAAGTTTGCTTCAGCCTCCCTCAGTGCTAGGATTACAAGCGTGCACCACCACGCATAACTCTGAATATTATGCATTTTTACCTTGAACGATTACTATGTGTCAACTAAAAATAAAAATATACTTTAAAAAAAGAATTTTTATATTCTCTAAGTCCTGCTAATGTCAGTATCATTCTATTCCAAAAAAGACCGAAGTGAATGTCTCAAGGTAAAATTGCCTCCCAACACTGAGAAAACTGATGCTCCCACGAAGAGTTAAATCCTCTTATGGGCTTTCTCAGAAGAGGATCTGGTACAAAACAATAACTAGAAACTTTCTAATCAAAAGCAAACACACTAAAAGGTAAAAAGTATAAGTACAGTACAACTATACGAAAGGGCTTGGAAGGAATTTTTAGAAAAGATTTTAAGTTAAACAATGTTCCTTTCTTTTTCACCTTTCCCTCTCATTCTTTATCAATCACTGTCACTACCACCATACATACATATTAATAAGACATTAATTCCTACATTTCAATTTATAGATGTTCCTTTACTTAGGGTATAGTTATACCCTGATAAACTCATCATAAGTTGACAATACTGCAAATCATAAAAAGTAGTTAGGAATGCATTTAATATACCCAAATCTACCAAACATTTTAACTTAGCAATGGCACACAATAGAGCATCAGTCATTTATCCTGAGATCACAGGGCTGACTAGAAGCCACAGCTCACTGTCACTGTCCAACATCTTGAGAGATTATCATACTGCATTATCACTAGCCTGAAATAAGATAAAAATTCAACACAGGGTTTTTTCTGAATGCTATCATTTTCATACCATTACAGTTGAAAAATCTTAAGGTAGACCATTATAAGTCAGGTCTACCTAAACAGACCTACTGTACTATTTTTTTTAGAGTTCTGGTAAATTCTCTAGCAGTACAGATCAGTCAGGCAATTCCTACACTTTATTAAAAATCTCTCATGGGAAATAATAGAAACAAAGACACCATATTGCAAAATAATTGATCCAAATAAAAAAATATCATACCATAATATTACTAAAGATTTTGATGACTATGGCACATAGTAAAGAAACTTATACCTTATAATAAAGATATATAAAAGAGATATTTATACAATGCTCATTACTTCAAAGAAATAAAAGCAAAAAGAATAGAGAGGCGACACAATTAAAAATAACTTGGGAAACATCACTTGCTATTTTCCATAGAGTTACAGGAGAAATAAACTATAAAGCCCCTCAAGCTGCATGGTTTAATAAAGACAACACTCTTACTGCTATGGGCGGAGCTAGGATTGAGAGCTCCTGATACTGACATATCTATCCTGCATGTGAATTATTACAAAGAAGTGTAAGCCTCACACCAATTAAATATAGCACCCTGCAACAGCTTTATCTAAAACAATCAGGTTAAAATTCAGCAATCCAGTTCCCAAGTTACACTTCTAAGACACCAGGCTCAAGAAGCAATACTTCTTACCTCTTTTGTCTTCTCAGATAGTCTACAACAGCAAGCATTGTTCTTTGTGATTTTTTATCCAAACAGCATTGAGAAAATAGCTCTGACTCTGACAAACAAAGATATCTCTTCTTAGTTCCAGATAGACTTGCTTAAGCACTTTCTTTCTTCTTGTCTATGTGTCTGCCTCCCTCTACACTGTAAGATTCAGGTGGGGCTTACCTAACACAAAATCGATTCTTAACAAATATGTGGAATTTGATGGCATTTTTATTTTAGAAGAAATGTATAAGCTTAATATAATTTAGAATTTACATTGCAGTTTATACTTTATTTCTGAAAAAATAATAATTCATGGATCCATAAATGCCTAGGATATTTTATGTGCTAGGTTCTCAGTATACAACTATGAACAAGATAATTTCTGGCCACACAACTCACTGACGAGACTGGAGACTCTCAACACAGTGTGCTAAGGGGTACAACACTAAGTTTTATGCTGTTGAGGAATATAAGAGCGAAGCTTGCAAGGATAAGAAACGTTTCATAGAAAAAGAGAGATCTGAAACAAAAGTAGTCAGAAGAGAAAAAGTATATCAGGGAATATTAACAGTATCTAAAATGAGCAGTTAAAAACTTGAAGAACTAATAAAAGAATTTCAACTATGTTGAACCACAGAGCTAGAAGGTATTAAGGATGATAATGATTGAGGAAAATAGATGGAGTAAAGTTATTTATAACATAGAAATGGCAGGCTTAGTAAGTAAGATGAGATAAGTAAGAAAGGTTTCTGGCTTAGAGAACTGAGTGCCATTCATGCAGGACAGGCAAAACTGGTAAAAAAGATGACTATCTTTGGACAACTAGGTGCACATGAGACTTGGAGTGAGATTTAGACATAAGAAGAGATATTTTATTTAAATTTTAAAGGAACGTACATGTACTTTCCTTTTTAGCAATAGCATTTTATATGTAAAGTTCAAATTTTCACTTAAGGTTAAAAAATACTGATGTTAACCTGGAAAGATGATTTCACCTTTGGCTGTACTACAACCAAACTATGTACTAAAACTGTTTATAATAGTACTTTACATAATTTAAAAATTTTAAATGTTTCCTTATAACTCTACTGATACCTGATATATGTCCTAGATTAAAAGATAGGAGATATACTTCAGTTTGCAAAGCATATGAGAATTTTATTTTAGAATTTTCACTTCAATGACTCAAAAGTCATGTAAGCATAATTCCAGATCATTCTGATGAATTTATAATCTAGAAGGGCCAGAAGATGGACAACTGTGTCTATGTTTATAATTAGAGTTTTCTAAATATCTATTTAAAAAATTTTAATTGACATATAGAAAATTACTCATATTTATGGAATATCATTTTATGTTCCAATACATATACACAATGTTCTAATCAGTATAAACATATCTATATCCTCAAACATGTATTATCTCATCATGAAAACATTCAAAATCCTTTCTTCTAAATTTAAAAAATATATATACAAAGTGCATTATCATCATTGATAGTTACCTTTTCTGTAGCAGAAAATTAGAACTTCTTACTCCCAGCTAATTATAACTTGGTATGTCTTTATTCTACCCTTACATGACTCTGCCCACTATCCTCTCAACTTCTATGAGATCAACTTTTTTAGATTCGACATATGAGTGGTAGTAGTAGTTGTCTTTCTGTGACTTACAGCTTCTATCCAAACAGATTTGTAATTACTACTAGCAAGGTGAAAAAACAAATAAAAGATAGCATCTAGCAAAATGAAGTGTAAATTTTATCAAAATCATTTCAAATGGAGGTTGTGGTAAAGTCAGAGAAACAAATGGAAGAACTAATTACAACCTTTGGTGAAGTGAACAGAAGCACAGTAAGTGGGAGAAGCAATTTATGTAAGTAAAATGTCAAAACTGTTATCTTTTATTAGAATTATACTGGTCTTGAAGAATAATATGTGAATGTTTATATATAATATATATTAAGTAAAGTAAAGTAAGTTACTGCTAAAGATTTTTAAATCTTATATCTTTCAAAATTTAGGTTTGAAAAACTAGTCTATAAGTCCTCAATTGTACATGTTTGTATTTTATGTCCCTAAACCCTAAAAAATATTTTTTTATATTAAGCTCTTAGCATTGAAAATATTCATTTCATATAAGGGAAAGCTGATAATATAAATAAAATATTATTTAACTTTTGCTTTTAAAAATCACCAGGCTAAGGCCGGGGATTTAGCTCAGCAGTTTGGTGGCCTGCCTTGCAAGCGCAAGGACTGAGTTCAATCCCTGGTACCAAAAAAAAAAAAAAAAATATCACCAGGATATTAACTGTTATAGGATTATGGGTAATATAATTTTTATAAATTTGTGTGGTTTTTCTTTATTTCCCACAATAAATATACATGCTTTTATAATTAAAAGGTTGTTTGTTTTTTTTTTACCGGGGACTAAACTTGGGACCTTACACTTGTGAGGCAGGCATGGAACCACTGAACTAAATCTCCAAAAGGTTGCTTTTTAAAAAGTTAGTTGGCCAGGACAGGAATTTAATTCAGCAGCACCACACTTGCCTTACAAGCATAAGATCCTAAATTCAATCCCTGGTATCCACCCCACCAAAAGTTAGTTGGTCAGAGCTCTAAAACTATTGAAACTGACTAAATATTTGATCAAGTTTATGTAAGTGCTTTTTCTATTGCCAAAAGGGGGTGGTATTTACATCTGTGTTGTCAGTGCCAACCACAGCACCTGACACAGAGAATGCTTAGTTGCCCCATTATTAATATCCAAAATTTACTAAGGGAATACTATACATTAAGAATTTTTCTAAGTGCTTTACCAATATTACTTCATTGATAACTTACTTCAAATTTTATCCCTCTTCTCTAGTTAAGAAAACAGAAATCTAGAGTTACAGAAGTAAGCCTGTAAAATGTCTTTGATGGTATTTAAAATTAAATCTCAATTCCTCTGAAACAGAGAGGCTAACAGTATAAATAATAATTTAACAGAATACCTGAATCCAAATTTGCGGGGGTCGTAGATCGGCTTGTTTGTGACAAGTGTTTGAAACAGCTGGTGAAAAATTCTTGAACATGTGTAGAAAGCAGATTTCTCCATGATTCATTTATATCTTGGAGTAAAATATCATGAATCAAGTATGGAAGCACAGTCTGACAAAAGCCAGTTTTCACCTAAAACATACAACACAGCCACTCAATGGTTTGAGTAAAATTTATAAATTTTTAACTTAAAATTTTCATTCTCTATTGCTGACATATTCAACTTTTAAAAAATGATACAGTGATCTGCCATGAGTTCATGCTGCTAAAAAATAAATGAAAAACGTATTAGGTAATGTTAAAAAAATACTAAGCTAATGTATCTGTATCAAATGGTTACTAGTTATGACTGTTCATTTCCAGCCTATGCAATTAGTATAAAGAGGATATTGCTAATAAATAAAATATTATTTTACGTACAATTTCAGAGTTAAAAATTGTTATTAACAACAAAAGGAGTTTTCTGATTTTATATAAAGGGGAAAGAGTAGGAAACGTTTGAGAAAAACTGAAAAATGTGAATTTTGTACGTTTTCCATACTCAGTAAAGAACTGCAACAGTCATATTGAAAATGTTTACTTTTTATAAACTCCAAATTTCTTGGTATAAAATCTGAGTAAATAGGTGTACTCAAAGTTTGAAAAGTGCTTTAGTATGTGTGGCACATTAGAATAGTACTGAATCTTATTCCTGCTATTCCTTAAACTCCATATTCATTATATAGATGACCATACTTCATGTCCACCATATTCATCACGCTCCATACATGAGACAGACTGTAGATGGCCAACCAAGAACAACTTTCTAAGGACAAGTTGAAAAGACTCATGTTTTTAAAAAAATTTTTTTTATTAGTACATGTTTGCAATACATATGCTTACATTCATCATGCAGAGTATGGTACATGTATATCTTAATTCTTTCTTCATCCTCTTCCATCTGCCTCCATGGAACTATAGAATTTAAAGTGCTAAGTACTGGGATGTGTATACAGCTATACTGGGAACATTTTGCCTTCTGGCTCTAAGTCAAAATGTTATTTTAAAAAAATCTTAGCTCTGCTCAACAATGAGATATCAGCTGAGTATAAGCCCAGGGTACAACACTGTTCAACTAATACGAGTATTGTATAGTACTGCAGAGAATGCAATGTTATTCACTGCCATTACGTTTTCTATACACAAAAAAGATTGGTTTGTTTGTTTGAAAGACAGGGTCTTGCTATACAGTTTAGGCTGGCCTTGAACTCACTATGGAGCCCAAGCTGGCCTAGAACTCCTGGTGATTCTCCTGCCTCAGGCTCCAAAGTGCTGGGATCACAGGTGTGCAACACCATGCCCAGCAAAGCTTGCTTTTTAAACTGCTTTCTATGCTTGTTCAAATCACTTCCTTATCAATTAAGTTTTAACGGGAACATATATGACCCAGTTCAACACTGTGTTTTCACATGTCTTTTGAATCATGTTTGACAGGTTAATTTGTATGTCTCAGAGCCATTATGTTGTGCTATTCTGAATTATGCATTTGATCGAATGCTCGTTTTTCTTTTCCCAGTGCTGTGAACTGAACCCAGGACCTCAATCATGCTAAAAAGCACATTCTGTACCACTTACCTATTTATCCATAGCCTCAAAAGACTATTAACTTTTCTTTGATTTGATATATTATCTTTACTATTTACTGAAATAAGTTATACGTTGCCTTCAAAAGTAAAAAACCAAGCTAACTCCTACTTTCCACTTTTTTTACCCAAAGAAACATATCAGAGAAAGTAAATGACAGAAATCTTACCAGAAGTAAACAAAAAAAGAGCTTTTGTTAACATAAATAATTTAAACTCAGGCTGGGGATTTAGCTCAGTGGTGCCACCCCCTACCTCGCAAGCACAGGGACCTGAGTTCCATTCTCAGTACAAAAAAAAAAGTTAAACTCATCAATATTTTAGCTATCATTAGTATTACTCAGGACTTCCCTTAAAACTCATCTATCCCAAATCTGAAATTTCCTGTGTGAAGTTCTGGCTGAAGTCATGCACTGAGTGTAGGTGACACTGCACAAAGATAATATGTAGTACCATACCACTTTTCTTGAATGCACAAGCATGATCATGTACATAGAAGCCAATGGAATGGGAAAAACAAATGGGAAAGAAAAGGAATTAATTTAGGTTGATAAATCTGCTTACTTCACACAATGGCTTTAATAACTGAAGAATTTCACTTTTCAGGCCTCCACTGTCCAAAATAGCACAGGTCAGGGTCTTTATCCAAATATTATGATTTTGGCTTTGAGGAATCCACAGATTAGTATCATCCAAGTCTTCTAAAGGGCTTTCTGTGTCAAGTCTGGGAACTTCTAAAAACTAAAAAAAAAAAAAATATATAAATAAGAGAATCAGAAAATCATTTTACCTTTCCTATGTAAAATGAACACCTAGTAACAACTACATCTGTTTCTAAATAAAATTAAATATACTTAAAACAGCCGGGCGTGGTGGCTCATGTCTGTAATCCCAGCACTTGGGAGGCTGAGGCAGGAGGAT